AACAAAGTATGGCCACAAGGATGAGGTAATGCAAAGGTGCTGCTTTATTGTGAGGGTATTTCATGGTAACCACCTTGCTCTAAGCTTTCTCACTTGGAGGGAACAAGGTCACTTGCTTTACTGGGGTTAGGGCCTGTTTCCCGATAGGAAACACTGCAAATCTACAAAAATGTATTGTAAACCCAAATCCTAGATGGTATATAGTCACACAGCTCTGGAACAGCACTGATGGTTGAAAGAGGTGCCAAAGATGACACAGAGGGAGGGTGGGTGTTACTTTACTCCTTGTACTTCAGTTCTCAGTGTTATCTTAGAACATAATCATTTGTACAAAATGAGCACAGGTAAGGTTTGTTTTGCTTGCTTTCTTTGAAGATCATTTCTATTGCAAGGTCACAGTCACTTGTAAAAGCTGGTTGCCTAGTTTCTGCCATGCCTTTTGTGCTTGTTTTGCATCATATTTGCCCTCCTCTGATGGCAAATGACAGCCACCACCATGTTTGGCATGATTTTTATGTGAGCACCATGCTAGTTGTCTTTTTTTTATTTGTTCAGAGCTGCTCTGGCTCCTGTCTAGCTGTTCACCTGGCCTTGCAGTGCTGGGGCAATCCCCAGGCTTCTGCATGGCTTCAGAGCTGGGAAATCTGCGTAGCTGCTGCCTGGGTGCTGCACGGTGGGGGATTTTGAGGGGCATTAAGGGAGATGTTTACAGGCAGATGTCTGCAAAGAACTCAAACATGTTTTAATAGCTGAAGCGTGTGTGGTGCTGACTTGAAGCTTCCTAAAAGTTTTGAGGTCTTGAACAATCCAAAGTCTGTGGCCCCCCCCTAACTGTTCTGGCAGGACAGAATGGTGGAATAAGTCACCCTGTGTTACCTTCAGGAAATTTCTGGCTCTTCATATCAGTGGCAAGCAAGAGCCCTTGGTCTTTTGTTGTTTCACTGGAAAGCAGGCAGAGCCATCTGCCATGGAGGGTTTTGCTTCATTGATTCATTTCCTTATGGAAGAAATTCAGTAGGTTCCCCAGTGCTGGGCAGCCTTGCATACCCTTCTTCATCTGGATTTGGGCAGGTTTAGCCCCTCTAAAAACCTACCCAGCAGCCCTTGAGGAACAGAGTGTGCACAAAAGTACTTGGAATGTTCTCACCATCCATGTGTGGAGTGTGTCAAACTGGCTGGGTGGTTCAGGCTTTTTTTTGTGTGTGTGATTAAAGCTCCATGGTATGTTTAAAGCCAGAAAAGACAGGTTACAAGCATGGCCTCCTGTAAAATTGTACATGGGGGGCTTATCTAGCTGCAGGCATTTGCTTTGTCAGCCTACACAGGTGAGTCTAGACTTCACGGCTGCCCTTCAAACTGCACTGCAAGGTGATGGTCTTTCCTGGTGGATATGTTACATTGCTTCTCTGTTTAGTCAGCCTGTATATGATGAAGGCTTTTTGCATATTGCAAATAGAAGCTGAGAAGTTGCTTATAAAGTGCAGCTTAATCTTGTGCCAGTGAGAGGCTTCTGCCAGGTTTTGTTTCTCCTCCAGGCTCCCTGTTACCACCCTCTGTAACATTACCTCCTTGCCACAGGTTTGGGAAGGCTTGAGCAGCTTCAATCACAACCAGCTTTTGTTGCAACCAGGAGTGGAGTTCCTGAATCCACTACTTTTGAGTTTCCTTGTGATCTGGAGTTGCTGTCAGTAGCAGTGATGTGTCTTGGTCCCTGCTGAGTGTAGTGAATCAACTCTCAGATCAGGCTTGTTGTAGCTATGTGTTGGATTCTTCTCTGGATATAGCCTTGTCTTTCCCACACCCCTTCTCCCCCTGCATGGAGACTTGACAAAGTGGCTGTTTGATAAAGGAAACAAGTGCACCTGATTACTTTGTATGTTGTATTTGCCTTCATGTGGAGAGTCCATCCCTCTTTGGTTATGATGAACTTCCCATGGATCTTTTTTTGGAAGTCTGGAAAACTTGAAAAACTTGAGTATCATGCATGCAGGAGTGCCACTTAAATTACACTAGTGCCTTGTAAATCAGCTAGGAGCAAGGATCGTGTGTGGTGAGCGTGGGAGGACTGGAAGGGAACAGTGCTCGTGAGGTGTCTGGATCCTGTTTTGGAACCTGCATGACTTGTATGTCAGTGCAGATCCAAGCTAAGCTCCTACTGTTGTCTTTAGAGTTCAGCTTTCCTCCATAACTGCATCTTGCTGCATCTTTTCTGGGTACTGGTGTTCTTCTCCAGGCCTCCCTTGCTCTTGTGTCTGAGCCAGTTCAAATTAGTAATTCTGTCCTAAATATTGACATGTTTCAAGAGTGCATGCTCTGAGACTTGCTTGAGTATGGCACTTTAAGTATTGGTTGAATTGATTTATTATTTTTTTTAACTCCCTACCCACATGATGGAGGAGAACAAGGAGAGGTGGGATATGGGCTGACTTTAGATTACCTCTTCACTCATGAATGTCAAGTAAGAAATTCTGGGTGAATCTATTGTATGTTTATCTGCTGGTTTGCCTGACCTCCACATGGCATATCTGGGATTGCCTTCCTATTGTTTGGCCTGGTACTCCTGCTGGACTGGTGGAGATTGCTCTGCACCTCTGGTTCTCTGCTGGGTGCCATAGTAACAGAAGAGGTCTGCACAATGTAATGGTCTCTTGTCCTCTCCTTCCTGTTCCTATCTGCTGGACCAAAGCTTACACTGAGAGAGTGTTGGTAACAGTGCTAATAGTGTCATCTGGCCAACAGGGCAGGCAGAGGCCTCCAAAAGGAAGGTATAGGCAGTGAGGAAAGAGCCTGCTCTGGACTCTTCAGCTCTGCTGTACCTCACAAGGTGGCTGTTAAAGCAGGATGGTGTTTGCCACACCATCAGTATGTCTGCACCTGAGTGATGAAGCATTTAGATCCTACCACTGTGGCTCCTTACTCTCCTGGAAGTCTGCAGGAGAGGTGGAAAATGAGTGTTGACTCTGGAGTCACTAAAGTAGCCTATTGTTCAGAGGTTTTCTTGGGAGTCCCAGCATGTTCTGGTTATTGTTTTAACAGCAATATTTAAGCTGAATGGGTTGCTTGACTGTATAGAAAGACAGCAGTGTGGGTTAGGGCTTACCCTTTGTCCCAAACTCTAGTCTAAGGCTGTCAGTTTGGAAGGGACTTCAAGCATCTTCAGCTTGGGGACCAAAGTCTTGTTTATTTTCTTGAGTTGCACTGAGAATGTTTCAGACCCTGTCAAGGCCAGGTGGTGAAGTTGGCAGTCAAGCTCAGATTTTTGTCCTTCTTCCTTCCATCCTGTTCCCCTGTTATCACAACTTTGTGAGTAGAGAGATTCCAGGCGTGTCTGTTGGCTTTATGTCCTGTAAACAGCAGACACAGCTGAAGACAAGTGTGCTTTCGAGGCGAGGAAATACTGTGTTTTGTGGGCAACACAAGGATTTCTGAATTACTAGCAGCATGTGGAAAAACAGAAGTCTTGATGTTAAAAAGGGGCAGCAATATTAGAAGGTTTCAGATGTAAGCCTTGGATGTGATGGTTGTGACCTGGTCTGGATACCTTGTGCCTGTCGTGTAGTGCACAGGGCCTCAAGGTGGGTTCCAAGTCTGTTCCACCTATGGGCAGGCACATGAGCGTTTGGAGTTGCAGTCATGGAAGCCTTTTGCTGTATCTGATCCAGTGCCCATGATACAGCGAGTTTTATTCTGTTTTAAAAGTCTTCCTTTGCCAGATCACTGTGAAACAGCATGGAAAAGACAAATAGCGTCTTAATTCTAAAAACCAGTAACAACAGCAAAAAACATTAACAGAGTTGTGACATTCAGCATTTATTTTGGCTGGCGTAGTTCTTTCTAGTAACTTCAGAGTGGTGCTCTCCTCCTGTTTTTTGGTTTTTGGGGTTTTTTTTGGCTTGTGTTTAACAAAGTCCAATTGAATCTGAATACTTGGCCTATCTCAATGTGGTGCATGGCTCCAAGTGCTCTGGTACAACACAAACGTGTGCTTTTGTGGGGGAGACAGGGGGGGATACATCATTGCATTTCTCCTTTCCGCCTTTTTCTTTTGGAGGAGCCACCTGTTAGCATTACATCAGCGGCTCCCAGGAACTCAGCCTCTTACCAAAGGCCTTACACAAAGTAGTAGTTCTTATATTGTTTGTGCTCAAAGAGCAGATGTCATGCCAGCTGATGTCATTGTGTGCTTTGTGTAATCACTATGGTGACTGGGCAGGTGGGGAGCCTGGGGCTGATGTAATTGCCGAATGAGGTGTAGAAAGGTCTGCTTTTCTCACTCCAGTTCAAGGGAGCCGCCCTCCTGGAGGGGAAAAAAGGAGAAAATGCAGCTTGAAAAAGCCAGCAAAATGTGTGACAGAGCCAGGGGAGCACAAGCCAAAAAAGTGACTTCTCCCTCTGTGCTTGGATCCATTTCCCAATCCTAAAAGTAACTCTTGTTAGGTACTTTCAGGCAAGCTGGGCAGAAAAAGGAGAGCTGTTTGCCACATGTTAAGTGAGCACTACAGTCCCTGTTGCCAGCAGCAGGTTTCTGTTTGGCCACACAAAGGAGTCAGTGCCGTTCTGAGCGGTGCTGGCACATCTGCTGTGGACAGGTAAAGCTAAAAGACTGTGTCCCAGCTGGCTCACTGTTCTGCTTTGGTGTGATCCTAGCCCCTTTGCTTGCGGTTGTGATGCTTTTCTTGGAAAAATGCCCTTCCCCCCACCTTTGCCTCATGCTCTAGGCTCATAGGTGAGGCAGCCCCAGCATACTGATGTTGCACAGAGGCATGTTTGTCAGCCTGTTCCTTGGCACTGTCAGCCTCGCGGAGGGGAGGACAATGGGTGCTACTGATTCATGCCACCATTGGCAGCCGTGCTGAGCACTGGTCACCGCAATGATGGTGGTGGGGACAATAGAGCCAGTTGCAGTCCTGGTGGCCCTTGGTGTATGCTCTGAAGAAAGATGAGTGTTGCTGTCGTTGACACATCTAATCTCAAAATATCTGCTTGGTCTTTCTTCCCAGGAGGACTCAGTGGTTTCAAGCAGAACCATGAAAGCCTCTGCGATAACTCTCTCCAGCTACAAGAGTGCCCGGAGGGGGGAGGAGGGGGCGGTGCCTCTGCTGTGCCCCCCACGCTACCTCAGTCCATCCCTACCACGCCAGACATCGAGAATGCTGAGCTCACTCCTATCCTGCCCTTCCTCTTCCTTGGAAACGAGCACGATGCTCAGGACTTGGAGAAAATGCAGAGGATGAACATAGGCTACGTAATCAATGTGACCACCCACCTGCCCCTGTACCATTATGAGAAAGGCATGTTCAACTACAAGCGGCTCCCAGCCACTGACAGCAACAAGCAGAATCTCAGGCAGTATTTTGAAGAGGCTTTTGAGTTTATTGGTAATTACCCTTGACTGGAAATATTCCTGTTTTTTTATCTGTTGTAAGAGTGAATGCTTTGCTTTGCTAACCAACCTGAAGGCTGTATAAGGCCATATCTACTTTTGTTTAGGTTGTCAGAAATGCTGAGCACCTTATGTTTCTACTCATTGTCATTTCTGGAACATCCAGTTAAGTAGCTCCAGGGTACAATTTTATCCATTGATGCCAACCTCCAGGGATCAAAATTCAGGAAACCTCACAAAAGTGAGATTTTTGTCACCTTCTCTTCATTATTCCTTTGCATTCCTTGTTTGCACAGTGACTTCCAGCCAATTTTTCATAGTAACTATTTTTAGTGATGGCTGAGCCTTTCCTAACTTGATTTCATGAGAAAACTGACAAACTGTCACACTTCACTTGTTCTACTATTAGATTTATAACTTTAGAGTGTATGTGTGGATGAATAGACAGTGATGAAAATTTGCATTAATGAGCCTCAAAACCTTGTAGGTTGTGTGTGAGAGTTCACCACAGACAGGCAGCTCCATCTGGTTGTTGGGGAGATGGTTGAAGAAGTGACCTAGCCATGTTACCCACATTGCTCTGAACCCCTCTATGATCTATCCAGCACAACTCACAGCTAAGTTTTAGGGATGTGTTTACCTCTGTTTGGTTATGCAGAAAAAAGCCAGATGGTCTCTTTAAGCAGGATCGGTCAGTGAGGGCATTGGCATGTGACACTGAAAGTTTTTGAGGACCTTCTTTTGCTTCTCTTTGCAGACATAGGTCCCTCCAGTGTCTTTTGCAGCATAGTGGATATCCACCTGTGCTTTTCTGGCACAAGTATGTGTCCTGAGAGGTTTTCTGAAATATGCTGGGATGGACCACAGATGTATACTTCTCTTTCCTGCTGCTGAGGCTGGACTAGTCTCACTTCCAATACTTCACATTCTATAGTGGAGAATTCTGTGACACAATTTAGGTGAAATTTTTGAAGTGGGCACAGAGCAGTCTTCCTCCCTCCTCCCATAAACATAAAACATTTGATGTTTATGGCCCTTGGGTTTTGGGTGCACAACTCCTTGGAAACTCTAGCCTGCTTGTGCTGGCTCTGCGAGGTTGCTCTTGGGCTCAGCAAGGACCTGGTTGGGAGGCTGGGTCCAAGAGCAGGAGGTCTAAGCTCAGTGTGTGCTACTGAGCCAAACTGCTTTATTGCCTGAGCAAGGCAGGGGCTTGCTGCTGTGAAGCAGACAGCTCTTCAGCTGAGCCTGGCTGTGCTTTGGTTGGCAGAGGGTTGTTGTGTTCTGATGCATGCAGGCCATAGCCATGCTACAGAGTGAAGGTGGACAGGCAAATCACTGCTTACACTGTAGTTCAGATGGAGTGCAGCTTTAAAGCTTGAGTCTTGACCACTGAAAGCTTCCACCCCCAGCTCTGGGTTTTGTCCTCTACAGGGTTCTCCACTTAATCCAAATTTTCCCTCAAGTTCTTAATCCAACCTTGGCTTTACCAGTAGTGCTGTCAGCTCTCCAAACTGCTGATTACTATGTGCATGGAGAGGTGAAGGCCCCTTTTTGAGTGAGGGGAAGAGGTAGAGCTCTCCCTGAGGACAGGAAAGAGGAAACCTTGATTGTTCCTGTAGGAAGAAAAGCTGGGTCAAGAAACCCAGTAAAACCTTAAACTTTGAGTTCCATAAGATGCAGCAATACAGTAGGCTGAGTTTACATAAAGAAACTGCAGAGCTCTGTTGAGATCCTCTGGTGGGGAAGGGAGATTTCTCCCAGCATCTTTACGACCTACAGGATTAGAGCTTTCAACCAGTAAAAGATAGAATTTGGCTTATGATCTTACCAGGGGCAGAGAAAGCAGCCTTGCTTTGAAAAGGTTTAGAAGATGTTTTGAAATCCATTTTACTTTCCTTTTAAATAATTACAGCTTAAGGGTCTGTCTTTGTTTTTAAAAAACAAATATTTCTCCATTGAGAGTTTGTCTCCATAGCAAGTTCAGCCAGCTGAGGAAGTAACTAGTCAAAGCTTTCCCTTCCTCAGGGTAAACTTTAAATTGCATTTGAGAAGATTTGGAAGTGTTTAAATAGCAGCTCATTGGCCTATGTTTTTTTAAATATGTCTCAAAAACCACAACCAAACCTAGGTTTAGCTGAGTCCAAAGCTATAGGAAGTGAAATCATCCAAAGGTCTCTGGGAAACTGTCAAAATGCATTAAAGAGTTTCATGTTTCTGACATACTAACTGGTGAAAATGTCTAGAGGGAAGTTGGTTGCATTTATGCTTTCACAATACAGGTTGAACATATAGAGTAGGATGAACCATAGTCTTGGTGGGGTTGGATTCATGCCAAAACTTGCAAACTAAATTCCTGTTCCTCCTGTGGATTGAATCAAAACATGCATTGAAGTGTCACATCATGAAAATTTTCTCCTGTTTTAAAGGAAGCTACAGGAGATGAGGATGGTGTGGTAGTGACTCTTGTCTTTCTCATGTCCTGTTAACATGTGGTTCTTGGAGGTCTGTTCTCCCTAAACTGTGCCCAGGTTGCGTCCCTCCAAGGGATGGATCTTGATGGAGAACTCGTGTGTGTGTTGTCAGCTCCATCCTTCCCCTCCTTATGCATTCCCCACCAATCCCAGTGAGAAGCTGTGGAGGGGAAGTGTCGAGCAAAATGTGATGCTGCACTTGAATCTTGAAGACACAGGAATGGCAAATCTTGTTTTCACACTGGTGAAGATGGCTAAGTATAAACATGGAGATCTTGATAAGCAGCAGCTGAGGAGTCAGAGTTTGAGGTCTCTTACTGCTGCTAGAGTCCTATTGAGGTATAAACTGAACCCAGCGCCTGCTTTTGCTGCGACACCACAGCAGACTGCCCTGTTGAAGCTCATTTCAAGAGTAGCTTTGTGAAAGCCTCTAAGAACAGGGCTTTGAATTGTTACTAATCTAATCTGAAAATATCTGTTTTTTAAAAGGTGGTGTCTTGCTTTGAAGGACCACAGTGGTCCTGCAACAGAGGTGGAGATGGACTCCCAAGGTGCCTCACTGGGGGCCTTCACCTCCTAAATAGATTCTTCCTGGCAGAACACATGAGCAGTGTAGCTGTGTCCCTTGATGTGCAGTTCAAGATTTTCAGTATTGGACTGGCCTGTGTATTTCACATCCAGTCACTCTGAAACCCCAAAGGAAGGTGGATTGCAGTGGAAGGGGAGGAGACACTGCTATGCTTGTAATCAAATAGAGGGACTGTTCACATTTAGTTACCTCTAGATGCACTGCATTTTTTCTAATTTACAAAATGGCAAAAGACTTCTTTTCTTCTCTTATTTCCAGAGGAAGCTCATCAGTGTGGAAAAGGTCTCCTCATCCACTGCCAGGCTGGTGTCTCCAGATCTGCCACCATAGTTATCGCGTACTTAATGAAGCACACGCGCATGACCATGACAGATGCCTATAAATTTGTCAAAGGCAAACGACCAATCATTTCCCCTAACCTTAACTTTATGGGGCAGTTACTGGAGTTTGAAGAAGATCTAAACAACGGTGTAACACCACGAATCCTCACACCAAAGTTGATCGGCGTAGAGACTGTTGTGTGACAGCCAAGCTGCAAGGAGGTGATCAATGAAGGAGTTAACCTATTCTGCACCTGATTTGAGGCAGTGATGGGTGGGTTGTGGGTTTTTCTTTTTAGCTTTTGAGGGGGGGAGGGGTGGCAATATTTTTGTGAATTAAAAAAATCCCATATTTTTTTTTTGTAAGGAAAGATTTTTAAGAGATCCAAGAACTTTGCCATGTTTGGGATGCTGTTGTGATTTCCTTCCCAGATGGTGGCAGAGCAGGGAGGCTTTGGATCAAAAGAAGTACTTTTTAAAATCAGAAGAAGATATATTGGGCACTTTTTTAATTTTTCCCTCCTCTCCAGCTACTTCTAGAATGGCTAAGTAGTCTGTGCAGGTTCATAGACTGAAGAAACCCAAGTTGAAGACAAAAGCAAACAGCCAAAACAAAGCAGAAGATGACTCCCTGAAGCATAAGGCCCTTTGTTCTGCAAAGGCTTTGCTAAAGATGATAACCTAGCAAAATACTCACCAATGCAAAGGAAATTGGAGCAGCTTAAAAAGTTTGTAAGGCACTTTTCACACTCCTGACTCAAACTAAAGAAGAAAAGGTTTATTTGGCATGTTTCATGTTCCAGTTCTATTTTTCTATTTAGGGGTATAAGGTTTTAACAGTAAGAGACTTTGATCAATCTATGCCATATGCCTTCACTGGCTTCTTGTGCAATAATAACGTGGGGTTTGTTTTGAGTGTTCAAACCAATTAGAGGTGGCTGCTCACTAATAATATAATTTTTAAAGTTTAATAGCTCAATGGCAGCCAGCTTGGTTCAGAAACAATAATTTAGAGCAATTATTTCCTTCCTTTATATGATTTTGATCCTGGTTACAGTGCCATAAACCTTGTTACATATGTATATCAGAATGTACAAAAATTGAAAATGAGCAAAGTTTATTTAAAATATTTTTCTCACAAAATATTGGTGTGTTTCAGTTGTCTATGTAAAAAAATTATTATAAAACAAAACCTTTTGGAAAATGTGTGTCCTTTTTATTTCTTCAGCTATTTTCTGTTTTCTTTCTGTGAGATGGGTTTTTGTTTTGTTCGTGTTTTCCTGTTTTTTGTTGCGATGTACATCTCCCTTTGACAAAGCTGGTATCTCCTGTTTGACATCTCTTCAGGCTTTTTGTTTCTGTCTTCTGCTAGGGAAACATGTTTTCTTTATTTTCTATTGTATTCCTGCATCCTTCAGTTTCTGTAACCAGACTTTTCTCTCCTGGAAGTACATCAGATTTGGAGCTGTTCATCTGAATTAGCACTATTGGTGAGGGGTCTTTGGGACAGACCTGTTACTTCTACAGCTCACAGCCATTTGGCAAAACAAGAAATAAACCTACTTCACTGGTTCCTTTACCTTATCTCCTGTATCACAGAATTGTCCAGTTTTTAGAAATATGTTCGTCTCTTGTGTGCTTTTCCCTGGCCTCTCTATAGCCTACTCCTTTAGCAGTTTCATGATTCCTAAGAATCTTCTTCCTGGGACTTACCTCTCTTTTGCCCAATTTTCTTTATCCCCCTCCTTTTCCAGTTGTGTCAGTTTTAAGTGTGGTCTGTATTGTAGGGCTGATGTTCTGCTCAACAGTGTCCCTTAGGTGGCTGACTTTTGCTTTCTTTGTTTGTATTTACTTATATTTAATGATACACTATAACCTGATCTCTTCTGGACTGCTAACATCTCTAAAGTCTACTTGTATGACCCCAAAATGAGAGAGAACATTTCTCTTATGATTTTGTTGTGCAAACCGATATATCCCCAGAAGTCTGGTAGCAGCAAAGGTTTTTCCTAGATTAAAAACTTAGATGGACTGAACCAAGTTTAAAATGGGACCTGTTGGAAATATTATGTATGATCACATTAGACATGTATATTTTTGTGGACATTTTACTTAAAATGTTGCTATACAGATATTTTCTTGAAACTTATCCCTTTATTAAATTATTTTTCTACTGGAATTGATTTTTAATTTTTTTATCTTCTATTATCAATATTGGTCCTTTTCCTGAGATGCCCTTGGCTTCAAGTGTTGTCCGGGCAGCAAAACCTCTTGGTCTGTGACCACTCCTGGGGCTAAAGAGAGTGTGGCTGGATGCAGAAGTCACTGTTCGCTGCTTGAAAGCCTTTGTGCTCCAAGAGGTCCCTTAGAAGATACAGTCTCCCTCATTCCCCACCTTCCTCTCACCTTTCCTTGCTTTTGGGCTCAACCTCTTCCAGTTTTTCTCCATGAGGTGCAGGTCGTTTGATAGCAGGGAGGGATTTAGATAAACCCTTTGTTTCTTTCCAGAGGAGAAGAGCAGCCCTCTTGCTCTGAGGGCTGGCTGAGAAGTTTGTCCTTAACAGCCTGTGTTTGTGGCTGTCAGTGCTGCATGATAGTGCTGATGCTCCACAAGAGTATTGAGCAAGGGGGACATGCTATCTGTCTGTGTGGGACAACGGTCCCCTAAGGGTGAGTGGAACAGAGGATTCAATTCAAAACTGGTCTTCCCTGTTCCTACTGTTTCATGTTCTCATGCTAAATGGCCTCGTGTGACCACCTCCAGCAGGAGGAAGGGGCTGCCATGGTGATGAGACTCACTGCATCCACTCTGGTTCAGTCTCAGCCACCACATGCTGCCTGGGATCAGCATCATGTTCACAGCTATGTAAGTTCTGGTGTTTGGTTTTTATTTAGGCCAAAGAGTTGCCCTAAGTTACTGGTAGCGGAGGATCTGATGCATTTGCCTTGGTAAGGCTGAGTAAGGACTGATGTTGCTGAGTGCGTGAACAGAAGCTTGGAAGCCTTCCTCTCTGCTGCAGAAACCTGGTCAGCCTTTATGCTCATCATGGTGAGAAGTAGTGAGCATAGTGCAAAACTTGCCAAATTTTGCTTTCTAACATGATGAACTTGGAAATTATGGGATAGGGCAATACAAGGGGGTGAGTAAGGGGAGTTTGCTGTGAGGCTGTTGGTAGTGGGGACAGGCTTGATCAAACCCCTCCTTTGTGTGGAACTGTTCCCTTTGAGGGGACTGGAGCTGGGCTGGAGGAGAGGAGCTCAGGTGAGTTGTGTCCTGCTGAGGGCAATGCTGGTAAATGGCAGCCAGGGAATCACTTTGCTGGGGGACAGGCCAGCAAGAAATGCTGATTTTTTTTTTTCCAAGTGAAACTTAGTGAAACTAGCAAATGATCATCTGACATTTTTATGCCTGAGAGCAGGAGAAATTCAGTTAGGGTTTGTATGAGTTTTAGACCACCTGGGAGCCTTGCCTGCGTGTGCATGTGTTGGAGGTGCCCCATTTTCTGGAACCCAGTATGATCCACTGTGAATATGCTCTTGTGTATCAGTAGAAAGCCTCTGTCAAAACACCACATGCTCCCAGCCAGAAAAAAACCCAAGATGTTTGCCCTCATTTCCAAGAGGAAACAAGGCTGAGGGAGTAGGGGCCACAGCCACAAAGGAGTCTGAGCAGAGATCTGTGTTGCTTTGCCACAGAAACTTCCTGAGAGGTTATTTCTGACTTCAAGGACAGAACTGAGGTTCAATCACTGGTCCTCTACTCTTATGGCTGGCTGTAACCTTCTCCCAGCCTCTCCAAGGTGGGACATGATTTAAATTTAAAAAATCAAGAAAATAATTTTATAACCTCCAGCACATGCATAGGTGTCAGCAAGGACAGGATCTGCTTTTCCCCGCTTGATGTCAGCATTATGTGCTTGTGTGCGAGGTAAGCCAAAATAGGTACTGTCCTGGAAAATCAGATTATGTCAGAACTTACTTTCCATTTCTCCTGTTGAGGAGCTTAGGCTAGACCCCTGAGTCCTTGTTTCTGAGAACATTTCCCTCAAGACCGGGGTCTCAGGACTGGGTCCTTGACATCCAACTTGCAAAGCCAGCCAGAGTGTTCCAAGCTAGGACTGCTGCTCGTTATGAATCTACTTTATCTTTACAAACTGGAAACTACCAAATGGTGAACTGCCAGTGTATGAGACTTACAAGATTTGCTTTGAATCTCTGTTAAAGCTAAAACTATTTGTTATCTTGCCTGCTATCCTGGTTTTAAGTTTAGGCTTTCAGAGCCAAGAGATGGTTTAAACTTTCCATGTGAAGTATCTTGTGTGCTTCATTCTTCTGAGTGATAGCGCGGACTGAACCGAATTTTCTGAGGCTTCCTATGATTTTTACAAATGCTGTGCTAACATCCATTGGGGAAAGACAAGTCAAAGGTTCCTCCCCTTCTAGCTTGACAGATACAGGCTAGGAGTGTTTCAAGATGAAGCAATTGTGTAGGAAGTGCATCATTACCTTATGGTCACAAGATCTGCCACCAAATTGTGGGGAGGTGTTTTCCAAAGCACACACAGGAGCTGACAAGACTGACAGGGGACAAAGGGGTGTGGGAAAGTGCTGAGCAGACTTTGAACATTTTGGCCTTGGGTGGAGTTGGCTCCTGGTGCATGCAGTGCCAGCAGCAGGAAAGCCTCTGGGAACTGAAGATGCTGATTCATCAGGGAGGACAGAAATAAAATGTGCTATCTCTTGACTGAATTAAGGAGGTAATCAAAGAGAGATAACAAGCGGTTGATGGCTGTCTCATTAGCAGGTATCTGCTTTCCTGTGGCATGTTTGCCTGCTTCTCCTGTAGGTACCAAATTGGAGGTTACTAATGAGCAGGTTTCAGATAGTTTGAGCACAGCCTGCCATGAGTAGCCAATGATTAGAGCCCTTGGTCTTGCAGCTGGATGTGGAGCTGGCGGCCAGTAAACAGAGGTAGTTTAAGCCACGCTGTGTTCTGTGGAACCACCCTGGGTGCTACTTGCCCCTAGAATCCTCCCACTGCTGGGTGCAGTATTAATTTCTCTGCTCAATCAGATGCTCATTTGCTTAGGGGTTTCTTCTGCTATCTCCACTCCCTCTGACTCTTGTCCCAGTAGACCATGAAACAGAGAAGCAGGGTCCTTTTGTCTTTAGCTATCTCCTGCATCTTTTCCAGCCCTGTCATTCCCCAGATTAGAGGAAAGCAATTTAGAGCCAGTCATTTGGAAGGCATTCTGCAGCACAGTGAATGTTTTCAGCCACCCTGATGGTCTCGTTTGATTTGGGTATCATCCAGGTAGCATCTCTCCTAGGGAGGTCAGAGCCTGAGACCACATCTTGCAGCAATTCCTTCTTGCAACCACCTGGTTACTAGAAACAAGGGACATGGTTAGGATGACAAAGTTACATATTGCAATCACCCACTGAGCAGCATGCCAGTCTGTCTGAGTGCTGCCCAGGGTGGGGAGGCTGAGCTGTAGCAGGACTTAC